AGGTAGTACCGCTTCATGCTGATTGCTGATTGCATTGCTAATTATGCGCATTGCTAATTAGTAATTGCTAAGGCTTGAGACCTTCGGCTGTGAAGACCATGCAAGTGCAGCGCTGATCTGCGAGAAGAAGCCTAAGCAGCCGGTCAAAGTGAAGGCAAGTGAGGACAGTCGCCAGCATGCGACTGCCGGAGTGAGCGCTGCTGTGGATCTGCGAAGCGTACTGGCGGGAGACTCCGAGGGATCAAAGAAGGGCCTGAAGAAAGAGAAGGCGAGCAAGGACAAGGCTGTAAAGAGTGTGCGTGGGACGCACCTGCTTAAGTAGAGAGCTGATGGCTGATGACCTCAGGGGCTTCGGGCCGGGCTTGGGGGTAAAACTCAGTCAGCCTCGAGCAAAATGAGTCAGCCTAACCGTAAGCAGTGAGCTCCCGAGATCATAGCATCATCAGCTCAAATGCACGGCTCAAGATGCATGTGCCACTTCCACTTGATGTCAGTCAGTGCCGGATCAGTGCCCATGCAAGCGTAAGCCTTGTGTGTGCGCGTCGTGACTGGTGAGTTGTACAGACCAACTGACATCCAAACGTAATGCTCGGTGCCTGTGCCAATCTCTCCTAGATTCCTACATGTTTTGCCGCTGTTCTGCTTATCTCCAATGGGTAGATCCACTGTCCAGCGCAGACTGCATAGCTTACTGGGCTTACTGGAGTGATAACAAAAATGTAGCTCGCAGACCTAGTCCCAGCGAGGAACCAAACTAAATTCCGTAATAGGAGGCAGTGACCATAATTGGAGATGCCGTGGGAGAGCTCTCAGCTCAGTGTTTCAAGTGCATGCCGCATCTCCTTGTCCGCATGTGAGAAAAATTAGCTGCAGGTGTTTGAGTCATTTGTTGACTGAGAGCGCGATGCCACACCACATGCCACATGTCTCATGCTAACCTGAGTGATGCGTTCTTCCCATGAACCCGTTGTCTCCCTTTACGAAGTGTCATTGTGCTGAGGCCTGACGTGGATGGACCGGACAGTGTGCAGATCGGATGGCGCAAAAATTAAGTGGGCTTTCGTGCTTTTGGGATTCCAAGTGTAGTCGCTTAGTGCTGGGTGTCCCATCTTGATAAAAGTACGAAGGCAAGCCTACATCTTCAAGGGCCATCATTGATAATTGCAGTCATATGTTGCTTGCTTTATTGTGCCTTTTGACAGTTTGCCAGCGAAAGCTCGAAAGTTATCCACATCATTTACATGGAATTGAAGGTGAGCCTTCTCTCCGAACGGTTTAGGGTCGGGTTTAGTTTAGGGTTTATTTCTAGGGTTTAGGTTTAAGGTTTAAAGTTTAGGATGTTTAGGATTCAGGGTTCAGGGTTATGATTCAGGGTTTAGGCCATTTTAGGGTAGTTTTACCTTATCATTGATCTGGAGCATATGAGGCCCGCATCCAGGCTGGCAGGTCCCCAAGGATACCACCACATGACCGCCCAGAGCACCCTGACCGAGACCCTCCCGAATACCATGCCGGAACCCGGCTTCACCAGACAAGCCAGTGACTCACATCACGAGGTCATGCCTTGCTCAAGGACATAAAGACTTGAAAGATAAAGCGTCGCCAAGGACAGTCTCATCTTATGTGCCAATTTGCGCAGTAACCACTCGTTCCTTGGAATAGTTTCTGAACCCTGACAGACTGAAAGTTACCAATGGACACAATTGAAGCGTCATGTGTGCGGGGCAGGGATATGGCTCAAAAACGTTTAGACAAGGCTCAAAGGTAACGGGATACTGACGGACTCTGGTCACTAAAAACATGATCAAGGATCAAACTCAAGATTCCGAGAAGGAAGTAAAGACGCAAGGAGGGAAGAAGGGACGGGAGGAAGGAAGGCAGGAAGGAGGGAAGAAAACCACTGGACACAAGAACGCAATTGGCGGTATCTGCAGCTTTTGAAGATCTGCAAGCGCAGGAAATTACAATGCCGGCAATCACGGAAAGCACAGGGTTCGAATCTGCTTCCAGTTCAGTGTCCAGTGCGCACCCTTTTTGATGGTCTTGTTCTTATCCATTCTACATGTTTACTTGTTGCCACATGTAGGCTGCTCCTTCTTCTGCCTTTGCTAGATTCGCCCGCGTCCATATTTGACTTTAATTGTTTAGGGTTAGTTTGGGTTGGAGCTTCGGGTTTGATTGTTTACGGTTTAGGGTTTGGGCTTCTACAGAGTTTAAGGCTTGAGTGTAAGGTTTAGGGTTTGGGCTTGTTGTAAGGTTTAGGGTTTTGGCTTGTGAAGGGTTTGGGTTGTTTTGGGATTTGGATTTGTGGGTTCTTAGGGTTTAGGATGGTTTAGGGGTTAGTCCTGTTTTGGGTTTTAGGCTTCTTTGTGGCTTAGGTTTTGAGGTTGTTGAGCGGTTTTAGGGTCGTTTTGGGTTTGGGGTTGATTAGGTCTTGGGGTTTGTTTTATTTTTAGGGGTGTTAGGGTTTGGGTTTGGGGTAGATGAGGGTTTGGGGCTTTTTTTGGTGGGGTTTTTGGGTTTGGGTCTGGGTTTGTAGAGCCTACATGTAGGGGATTTTATGGTTTGTGTTTGGGGCTGCTTGGGTTTTAGGGTTCGGGTTTGTTCAGCGTTTATGGCTTGGAGTTTTCAGGTTTAAGGTTTGCCCGCGGGCTGGAAACATCATGCAATTATGTCTCAACAGGGATTTTCGTGATTCTTCAAAAGTTGTGGGTTACCAAAAGCTTATTTTATCCGATGTGTGTTGCTCGTATTTGCTCAGAGTTTGGCATCCAGAGAGCGATGCCATGACCGCCGGGACATGCTGGGGCTAGGTGGACGAGTGTGGGTGTGACTGCGCCGGTCATTACAGAGGCTTCTTACAGGAGCCTTTTTCAGGATGGATATGCGTAAACCCTCGCACCTTAAACCATCCGCCCCTTAGTCCTCCTTCAGACACCTTCAAAACAAAACTTAGCTTTTAAACCCTTGGGAAACTCCTGATCAATACCGCAAACCACCCTCACTTCTTCACCCCACTCCCTCACTCCGAAAGCAATCCCTTAAGCCTTACAACCTGACTCTTAAACCCTATGCCCAAATCCCAATCATCGGTGCATACGGTGCATACTAAACCTTGCACCCCGCTACTCCCTAAAGCCCCAACTCCCAAACCCTAAGCCTCGACACTCAAAACCGTAGACGCTAAGCCTAAAGCCCAAACCAACCCAAAGCTCTGAGACCCTAACAGGCCCTAACCCTTGAACCCCTAGCCTTAAATCCTGAGACCTTAAACCCGAATCCCTTAACAAAAAAAAAAGTAAAGCCTGAGCCGTAAACCCGAAGACAATCAATCCTTAACCCTACTTCTTGGACCTGAAGACCCCCTAAGCCGTAAAACGTCCGACCCAGACCTCTAAGCGGTAGTTTCGATAGCAGAGAAGCACGCGCACATCTTTAAAAGGTTGCACACTGAACAGGAAACCCCAAAAAGGTGCGCACTGGCGAGGCAAATGGGTGCACGTTGGACCCCCCGCGCGAAGCAAGAAATTCTGTAATTCGCAGCATGTGCAGGTTCAAAGGAACTGTAAATGTTGTAATTTACAGTATCCGCAACCTTGACGAACTTCAACTGGGATAATTTGCAGTAGCTGCGGCTTTGTCTCAATTGCAAATGGTGGTGCTGACAATCTTTCAAATGCTGCAGTTTCACTGATTCGTTTTTGAGAGGCGGCGTCAATCCCACATGAATCTATAACATGACCCAGTATGACCTTTGAAGTAGGCCCCCTTTTTTAATCCTCTCCCCCCAAGATTGAACCACTCCCATTATGCGGTAAATTCTAATATATTCAGAGTATTTGATTTGATATTAGGGGTTGGGAGGTTTACTATTAGGGGGAGGGGATTACAAGGTTGGCCTGACTTTCAAGATGACCCCCCATGATTTCTATTGAATCCCGGCCGTTGCCACATTCTTCAATGGTTCGCAAATGGGGTGGGTGTGCCTCCCCAACCCCCCCGCCTCCAGTTTTGACGAGTGGGTTGGCTTTCAATATGACTCCGTGTGGTTTGCAAATGTTTAGGCTGCTTTTGCTTCTTGATTGCCTTGCAAAGCCAGTCTTTTGATAATTGTTTCGATTTTCTTTTGATCACCGGTTCAAACTTTTTGGATGCTTCTTTGTTTTTTTGACGACTTGGCTTTAGCTATGACCCACGTGCCATGCAATTCTTTGGTGACACAGTCATCAGCTGGGTTTTCACAGTCCTGCCTTACCTGTTGCAGGCAATCGTCCCAAGAGATGAGCTTCCTGCGCTTGAGACGCCTCACAATTTCGACAAGAAAGCGACGCATAGGATTGATGAGCTTGTCTTGGCCAGATCATTGCTCCCAGCCATCCAGTCTACGTGATTGCTTTCTTGCACCCACGGCCGTAGAGTCGCAGGAATGGGAGGTGCTCCATGTTGCGACTCTAGAGTTTAGAGTCCAGAGCTTGCGCTGGCAATTCATAGCTCCCAGTTCCCAACGCTGGCCAGAACGGGGCAACTTGCCTGATGGATGGTTTCGGATGGTGCCGACGTGGATGTGTCAGTTGTTTGTTGCAGGTAACAGTGGAGTGGTCCAGACAGCTTCCGGGTTGTCAATTGCTTTGGCTTTCGCGGCAACCAGCGACTTGGCTGGCGCCTTCCGAAAGACTGCTCCTTCAAAAGTTCACCGCTTTGGGGGTGGTACTTGAGCTGGGAAAGAGCATGCTTCAAGGGACTGTTGCACCGAGAAGGAGTGGACTTCGGATGTTGAATACGCATTGCTTCCAAGAAGCGGTGCTGGTGCACTCCAGGGTGCTCCGATTCCGAGAAAATGAGAGGAAGATGTTGCCCAGCCTGTCTGTTGAATCTCGAAGTGATTCGAGAAGCGAACTGTGACCAGCGGTACATCTGTTTCTTTTGGACGGTTGCAAACCGAGGCTTGAAAGCATTATTCTTTGTGCCTCCCATCCTTTCTCGTGCCTCCACTGCCAGCCATGGCTCCAAAGGTTCAGAAGGGCTCCAAGCGACCGGCTCAGGCTGGAAGTCAGAAGCTCCCTCCTGTCCCATTTCAATGATTTCGATTTTGATCTTTGCCCGAAGGAACCTGCTGTGGCAAGCGAGGCCGGGCCATGCTGGAACAGCTCCATGCTAAAGCTTGTGTAGTAAACAGCTCTGTTGCTTGAGTGTGATAAGCCCAAAGCAAAGGGAGCTGAACATCTACACTTTCTTTAGAAGCTTGCCATGGCACAAGGCCAAGAAGCTGAAGGAGACTCTGCGGAAGCACGGCATCGCAAAGTCGACGTACGATGGCAGCTTCCAATGCATTGGACACATGTGCGCATGTGCTTCGCAGAAAGGCTTTGCAGGTCATTCCGTCGGTCCCATTCTTGTTCTTTGCAGGCGTCGTGGAAGCCATCCAGCATCCATTGGCTGAGCGGTTACCAGATCCCGTTCGCCAGATGCTGCTAGCAATGCTTCCTGAGGCGGCCGTGTGTGTTTGGGTTTGTGTGTATTGCTGCTTTGCTGCGGCACACCTTACTGACGTTCCGCACTCCAAACCTACAAAATACACTTGATTGCTGTGACTGTCTGGCTCTGCTTGATCTCGTCAGGGCCTGTGCGTCCCCGAAGATCTGCGGCACGAAGTGCAGGTTCGTTACGTGGGTATGCTCTCCGAGATTTTCGAGGGCATCATGTCTAAGTTGCAGAAGAGCGTGGATGATGCTACAGCAGAAGCTGCTCGCATCGAAGCGTCGAAGACAGACCTGGATTCAAAGGCCACAGAGTCTGCGGAAGCGCTGCAAGCTGCGGCCGCCCATGCCACCGACTGCAAGTTGAAGTTGGCAGAGGCCACAAAGGTTGTCTTGACCGCCAAGTCGGCACTTTGTGATAAGGAGAAGCTGCAACGCGAAGGAGATGTGGCTTTCGAGGCAGCTAAGGCGGAGAAGGCAGCTCTTGAAGCAGCCCTGTCTGAAGACTTCCGCCTCCTTCGAGATGGAGGGGTAGATGGAGACATCGCCCAAACACACTACAAGAAACTGGAAGGATTGGCCAGCAATATCGGCCTGGAAACCAGTTTGATGACAGCCTTGCCTACGTGTATGATGAAGAAGCCCGGTGATCGTGGATCCTTTGATGCTATGGTTGTAGTGCAGCTTCAGGACAAGCTTACCAAACGGATCTCGGACCTGGCTGAGATCATCCAGTCAGGCCAGCCAAGTGCTGCCACAAGACAGGAAGCCGTTGATGCGTCGCGCAGCGAGTTGGAAAGTGCCAAGCAGGCGCAGCAAGAAGCAGCAGAACTGCTGAAAGCTGCCACTGACCGTCTACAGGAATGCGAGAAGCAAAAGGCCGATGCGGCAGCGAACGTGGAGCAGTACGAGCCCCAGTTTGAGGCAGCAAGGAAGACCGTCGCTGAGAAAGAAGCTGAGCGCGATGCCTTTTGCGACTACAACTTTGCCTGCTTCCAGAAGCTTCAAAGTCAGCGCACGGAGCCGAAGGCCGTGGATGATGCGATGTCCCAAGCGCGGCGGCAGCTGGAAATGGCTGCAGCCCTTGAGGCAGCTGAGGCCGGAGCTTGATGTGAAACATGTGAAGCCATGAGGCATACATGGCATGCCAAATTCGAGCAAGCTAAGCTCGGAGAACGTACATACTGCAAGTTGTGACTGAATGTTCCGGCAGCGGTGCCAGAAGACATTCGGCAAATTTAGGAGGTGATGAGCTCTGATTCCATGTGCCTGATGGCATTGATATCCCTAAACCTGATGCAGTGTGGCAAGCTCGCATTTGCCTGGGGCTGGCAAAATCTCTAGTTCAGCGAGTAACTCCGCCATCAAGCAGACATGAATGCAGAGTGCGACAAATGATGCCTTCTTGTGTGATTGTCGATTTCTGCTTGTTCGTTGATGTGTTTGCACGCGAGCTGAGAACTGGCTTGGGCCGACACCATGACTGTGCTCCCGAAGTGGTCGGCCCGAGAGGATTCAAATTGCAGAAAACATCTTGTTGGGTTTGGCCGTCAAATCCATGTTTCAGGTCACCGGGCCTAAATTTCGTAAACTTGCTACGCCCTGAAGAGACCTCAAGGACAGAGACAGACATGCACTCTGGGCGGCCAGGCCAGCACACAGAACAAGCCGCCTCCCCAAGACTTGCAGAGTCCTTGCTCCTGAAAACACTCGAGACTCGAAGGGCTGCTGAAGAGCCAATGAACCTCAGATTGTTGGCCCTGTGCTTGGGTGCGGCCAGTGCGGCTGTGGAGGTGCGGCTGCATGCTAGAGATTTCAAGATATCCAAAGCGTTGATAATTGGCACCGCTCCTGCTTGCAGTAGTCTTCGTGGTCTCTCGTTCAGGAGGGGAAGTGGGGCTGGATCGATGTGGATGCCTGGACCTTTTACTTGATGTCGATCCATGTGTTGTCCTGTGAGCCTGCGCCCTGCTGGACTTCCAAGACTGGCAACGTAGACGAAGTCCTGAAACAGGGCCCAATCTTTGTGAAGCGGCGCGCTCAAAAGAGGGAACTTGACGAAGATGTTTGACTGCATAGCACTCCACTGTGACGATATCAGCAGGTTCTTTGCTCCATGGTGCTCGCACTGCAAGAACATGGCCAAGGAAGAAGAATTTCAAGAAGTTCAGCTCTCTTGTAAGGACCAAGTCTGTCTGACACGCAGATTACTTCTGTCCAGGACTTCCACAAGGTAGCCCAGGAGGAGTTGCCGGCCATGGCCTCAACAAACTAAGCTGAAGTCACCCTGGTTCCACGTCCTTGAGGGATCTTGCCAGCATCAGGATGGCGTTCGCGTTGGCAGCAGGGGCCTTGGGACAGAGATGAGCTCATGACTGACAACCAGAAGAAAATGAAGGCACAGTGACTTGAAACAGCACCTTGCGTGAGGAGTGGACTCGACGAAAAACCCTGCCCTGAACAAGCGCTTTGGCATTTCTGGTTATCCGACACTCCTCATGCGCGTGACTCAGCTGTCAGACTTTCCAAATGCCACCTGTCTAAGGCTTGCGCCATTCAGCACAAAATTCCTTGACTCTGTTACCTCGGTGCGTAAGAAGATGCCAAGCACATTGGCGTTGCGTGGAAAGCAGCGGTATATGCTTCAGTGCAAACATTTCGCTGAGCGCGACGCTAACCTTCTAGAAATGTGCCTAGCTTCCGCAGAGTGCAACCAAAGTGCCAAATTAATTCTTTTGTTACAGGGCGCAGCCGTCTGCCGATACATGCCAACACTTTCCAGCGCTGGAATATTATCCTACACCCCGCAAGCCATAAGGCTCAGCGACGAAGGCAGGGACATGAGGAGGCCACAGAGAATTTAGTAAATCGTGCTAAGCTTTGACATGCTGTCGGTGCACTGCAGTTACTCGGGGGACCGCTCTTTCAGCAGCCTCCTTGAGCAACTCGGCTTTGTAGATACCTCTTCGCAGCCCTGCTCATCCAAGCTTTGGCTGCGTAAGGTTTGCCCAGGGTGGTTGGAGAACAGCTCCAGTGTCGCTGGCCCAGACTTTCTCGCATGTCCTGTGTGAAAAAGTTGAAGTTTTTGGCCCCGAGGCATGACCCAAGCAAGCCGCGACCAAAGCCGTCCTTTAGTGAGCAGCTGCCGGAGCCTTGAGATGAACTTTTTGTGTCAACGGCCCGGATGCACATGCCACGGAGGAAAAGCCTGCCCTGGACAGCATCTTGTCTGCAGGATGACAGAAGCTGAGGTGCAGTGGAGGTAATTCATTCTCGAGTTCTAGACTCTAGACCATATGACGCTATTCCAAGGACATTTGTTTTGCTGTTGGCAAATATGAATACATTCCAACAAGTTTGGATATTCAACAAGCAGCAACCGTTCTTTTTGCATACCATTTGTCATTGAGCCCTTTTTCCGTTCCACGTCCCTTCGTTCTATACCCTCATGTAGGGCTGCGATCCATACCCCCCGGAACAACCCACTTGTTCTATGAGATTTGGATCACACCTCGAATTGTGCAGAAGGCAGCGACATAAACAAGACCAAGCACCATGAGACCAACACAATGAAGATATTCCGACCGCATATAATCGTTCTCAAGAAATTTTCCAGAAACAGGCCAGGTTGGTCACAAACCCTGCTGCAATGCTTGAATCCTGAACCCTAAATTAACATTGCCACCAGCTGGGATGCCATTTTTTGGAGCTTCTGAAAGCACTGCTGCCCTTGTAAATCGGGTCTGTGGTGAGAGCTGGAATACTATTCTTATTACGTTTGTGACTATTATTTCAATTGACACCACTCTTACTACCATTACTACCATTACTACTATTACTACTATTACTACTATTTCTGCTATTTGGGCAAATTTCAGAGATGCAGAACCCATAATTTAATAGCAGAAACAGAAGCAATAGTAGGAATAGTAGTGTCAATACCAATCGCAGTAATAACAGTAATAACAGGAGTGTTGCTATTGGTAATGATACTACTAATAACACTTATACTACTAATAGCAGCAGCAGGAGTAGCAGTAGCAGTAGTGGTAGCAGTCGTCCGCCGACTGGTCTTGTCGAGGTCAAAGCTGTGGGTCTCCTTTTCATAGTTGGCACAGCTCTCAGTGCTTCGCTGCGAAGAAGCGTAGACGTTTGTACCAGAAGCACTGCTGGATTTTGACGCGAACTTCAATTGGGAATGTTTGTGGCAGAAAGTACACACACTTCTATCCCCACATGTATATGATCATGGTGGTCATGATGATAGTTGTTGTGAACGACTATTCTTGTTGGCTGGATTCTTACAAGACAATTTCTGCGGCACTTGCCCAGGATTGCCCTTGTCGATCTTTGCCGCCTGTCGGAATCCCAGCGGGGCTTTGAGAAAAGGCTTTTTACGCTCTGCGCTTTAGGGCCACGAGGTAGCGCATGCTGTGCTTCTTCCTCACTTGTTTTGTGTGCCTTGAAATCATCCGCAAAGCCAGATGGCGGGCAGCTCAACCAAAGCACGGAAGGCAATGAGAGCTGCTTTACTATTAATCTTGCTACGAGGAAGCACGGCCAAGGAAGAACTTTGTATTCAAGTTATCCATGTAGCTGAGAAAAGTCTGATGGACAAGCTATACATGACCANNGGCCAAATGAAGAGCTTCTAGCAATGCGCCGCTTCCATTGTTGTTGTTTTGTTTCGGTCTTTCAGATCCGCAAGATGCCTGGAAATGGTCCGCAGAGACTATTGAAAAATGGTAAGCTCATAGGAGCTCAAACTACAAGAGCATCCTAGATGGGCTCTAGTTTTGATCATCCTATTCATGTTGCTTTGTTGTGCTGGGAGAATCAGCCTTGCGTGACCCCGTAAGCGGTCTGAAGCTGCTTGATGTTGTGGCAGCTGTTGCACGCGTTGGCTATGATTGATGGCTTCCGCTGTTGAATACATGGTGTGGGTGATGACACTTTTGTTGGTCTCGGCCGTTCTGTTGCTGCTAGCGCCGGCGTGAGCATGCAAAAGCTGGCTTGCATGAGGCAAACGAGAGACCACAGCCGAGGAAGACCTGCGTTGTGCTGCCGTTGCCTGTGCAGAAGCTTGATTTTGCCACGAGGAAGCACAGCCGAGGAAGAAGTTTGTATTAAAGTTATCCATGTAGCTGAGAAAAGATTGATGGACAAGCTACACGTGACCGATGGAGCAGAGGCTAGAACCGAATTAGCTCATTCGAACCTGGATGGAAGATGTTGGAGTGTGTTTTTAGTGAATGACGTGGCATTGCTTGGGAATGTAGTGAATCTAGCCATCAGCAGATTCATCAACAAAACTGTCATGCTGTGATCTTGCTTTAACGTGCCTGTCGTTGAAAAAGCAGCAAGAGTCTTTGCGTGCTACGGTGCCGAGCACACCCATCCATGTGTCAGGTTACGATGTGTACGCGGAGAAGAAACGTCGTGATGCCAGACGAGCTGAGCGCAAAGCTGAGGCTGGCAAGACAGACTGATTGCTTTAGGTTCAGTGCGGCGCCACGTGCCGCCCAACTCCTTGCCACATCAGCTGTGCTACTTCACCAAGCCAGTGTTTCAAAGACCATCATTCACTCGGCTCAACAGGAAGCTGAATGGTTGCAAGCATGCCATGCAAAAGGGAGCGTGCACGGATGTCATTGCCTCAGCCGAAATGACTGGAACGTGCGTGACTGCTCTCGGTACTTTTGGTATTGTACCCACAGCATGAGCCCGCCTCGTTTTCCGTGGCTCACAATTTGCTAAGGTCTTGTTCCGCTGTCGCTCACTGAAAGTCTAAAATGCTTGCTTTTGGGTGTGGGAGGGGAAGTTGGATGGGAGAGGACGTGATGGGTGGCATTCCGACACCTGTTTGCATGCCCTTGGTCAAGAGCGAGGTCATTCTGTCAAACACGGGAGCGCGGAAGGCTGCCAGGTCCAAGGTCCAGACGCCCGGCGGCCAGAAGCCAAAGGGGAGAAGATTCTTGTCTTCAACTGTTACATTCAAATGTGCATAGCTTGCTCCACTGCATCTCGGCATGCTGCAGCTGCAGAACTGAGGGGGCTCTCGTAGGCAAAACACAAGCAGTTGAAATGAAGCCTGGCATCAGATGCCCTCGTCCTCATGGATTAATCAAAAGGCTTCTGCTTGAAGTCGGTGCGAGCACCTATCTCATCCATCATCCATCTCTTACTTCAGTTACCTTGACACAAACGGATTGCACGTTTTGGAAATATTACGAAAGCAAGATCACACATGTTCGGCAATGACGAACGAGCAGCTCTCAAACTTCGAGGAGCCGTCGTCACGCTCAACATTAGTGCGGCCACTGCAGAGTCCCGCTGCAACCTTGCCAGAAGCATATCTGGTGGGTGCAGAGCTATTGCACATAGCATTTGAACGGCATCAAGTTGCCAGGAGCTAAAAACCACGGTTGTAAAGAGGCTGGGAACAAACCCTGTGTGCGAAGAATGCATTCTCAGCCCAGAATCAACCTGCCTTTGCCAGTTTGGAAACCTCCGGGCTGCTTTCACAGATCAGGGCGCAGTTGCGTGCTAACGTCTTCAAGGACTGCAGTGACTGCGCTGTGGATCGTTTCAGGCAGAGACATTCCAACCTGCGGTCAGGCAATTGGAAGTTCTGGCGATGTAAGCCAAAGCCAGGCAAAGAAGCTGGGTCAGGGGGCCCGGGCACGCGTTCAGAGCAAAAAAGCATGCACATTCAAAGTCCTTATTCAAAAGCCTTCAGATTGAGTCACTAAGAGTTGTTGATTTGAAAGCCGTCCGTCCTCAGGTGATGGAAGCCCCTTTACATTGCTCTCAATGGAGCTGGTGGCTGAGTTTTTCCAGGCTGGCCATCCTGCCTTTACATTCACGTGCCGGTCTAGTTTGTCGTTAGCGCAAAAAACAAGATATGCCATGGTCAGAAACAGCTGATGCACTCATACCTGACAAGCCTGGCAGTTTCATGGCCTTCACCACTCCCTGTCGGTCTTCCAGTGTGAGGCGGGATCCGCTGAGAAGACCATGTTATAGGTTTACTCGATGGGTTTCCATGGTAGAGTTGTGCTGACATCAGTTCTGGAAAGGCACAGCTGACAACGTCCTGTACAGAAGCCTCAACATCTCTTCGGAGGCCAGAAGGAAACTGTCTGCAGGTGAGGGTAAGGTCTGCTTTTTTGCAGATCTTCTCGGTTGACAGGCGCAGTGAATTGGTTGCTGAAATGGATTTAGAGTTCCTGCCCCAGCAAAACAGGAATCTGGACCCGTTCCACAGACTTGGCGCCATTTCGGCTGAGGCACTCGGAAGCTGAAAACTGCTCCGTGCTCGAGCAGCTTGTGGAAGCCCGAAGGCATCACATGCAGAGACTGGAGAATTGCATGCCAGTGGATGAAGCCTGACGCAAGGGTGGATTTGCCACATCGCTCCGTCTCGGAACAACCAGAACAGAGGGAGGAGGTGAAAGTTCAGGTTGGGCCTTGAGACGCTTGCTGCGTTTGGGAGCTCTTTGTGACCTTCGCTTGGCAGGTGCAAGCCCAGCACAAGGATTTGGGACCCCCCAAGAAGCTCAGGTGGGCGAGCAAGAGCGCCCAAAGCGCAGCTTCAGCTGATTGTGGTTAGGTCTGAAACTTGGGCCACGCCAGCCTGCCATAGCGGAGAAGGCCGGCGAAAAACTACTTCTTGACTACATTTTGTCAAAAAAAACTGCGCAAACTCACATTCTTCACGATGATGAAAGTTAAGCGGGTTCCTCGGAGAAGGGACATGCTAAAGGAGCCGATGCTAAGTGCTGTTCACAAGCGGCCATGTCACGTACGTTCTTCTGAACATTTGGCCATTGAATACATGCGCAGTGCCAGGTTTGTTTCCAGCTGTCTGGCATTCAGGGGGCGAAAGCTGACCCCAAGCAGAGCAGCATGCCCGCCTGCGCAGGTGACCGGAGAACGTCGCTACACCGACGGCTCTCGGACCCGCTCGGCTCTGCCACTTCCTCGGTCTGGGCTGAGAGGCTTGGAATGGTCAACCTGCGCACCATTTCAGGAGGCGCTGCAAAGCCTTTCTCAGCAGATGGCTCCAGGCGAACTGTGCCGTCATTAGCCGTGATGTCTAGGCATAGTCGCACAGCTTCGCGCGAGTCTCTGCACGTGAGCACGGAATAGCACGGAGGCTCTTTGACAGCCCCAGTGGGCCTTGCAGCCTGGGGTCCAGGGAGAGGCCGTGACATAGGCGCTCAGGGGGAACAGTGAGGCTTGAAGCCGTTGCTCACTACATCGGGCAGGGCAGAAGGTAAATCAGGTATGCTAGCGGAGCTGGTGTTGAGCTTGATAGTCCTAGGGGGCTGAAGAGGAGGGATTCGGAATTGATGTGTCAGTACTTTGTTGGAAACACTTGTTCCACTCACTGACTTGTATGCTTGGATTCGAAGCTCACTCACTGACCCGCTGAGCTCATTAATCAAGCAACATCTCCTTCACTTCCCATTCACCGGCTCACATTCACCTACTCGCTAGCTCGCTCACCCACTGACCCACTCACTGACTTAACCCATTCAGACGCAGAGCCTGGGTATGCCTCGCTCTGCGTTCAATGTTCTTCTTGCGGAGGGCTCTGAGCCGCAAAGATAAATTGCATCACTACCTCGGCAAGCTTTCATCACGCAAGGGGAAGACTTCTGCCGAGACATGTTGACCCAGGGTACCTGTGAAGGCCAATTAGAGTATATGTGTAGCGGCCTGAGCGGATCGACGCTACAGGCTGAAATGTTCGCCAACTCGTTCGCTCGACTTGCCGAACTCACTCCAGTCATGACTTGCTCCACTTGCTTGATTCATTTTTACGCGCAGCAAGTTTCAAGAATTCAGCTCTGACTCACTCCTCTTCTTTACCCTCCCGTCACTCCTTCCGTGCCCGAATTGACCTATCCACCCAACTCCCGCCTTTCACTTATTCATTCCTTCCACGTGCAACCGCGACCTCGGAAGGCATGCTGACCACTAGCCCATTGGGACAGCGACAGCGACTGCCGCCCCTCAGCAGAGCCTGGGACAGCGACATCGACTGTCGCACCCTGGCAGGGAAAGATAGCAAAAGCGCACCATGTCTGATGATGTCCGATGCATGGCGAGTCCAGAGCAAGCCTTGAATGAAATCATTCGCGTTGCATAGGGTCGGTGGCGCATCCCGGAGAGTTTGAGCACGGTGGTGCGCGACCTTGAAGGTGAGAGTGCGTCGTCCACAGCGCCACCTGTGCGCCAGACTGCCGTGCCAGGATCTGAGCCTTCCTGGTCCCTCGGAGTAAAAGAGAAAGCAATTAAGAGTGTTGAGAGGTTGGCACCTTCCAGTCCAAATTTGTCGCCTGCGAATTCCTCCGTTGGCACAATCAAGGAGGCCGGAGGGGATGTCTGAAGTCACACTGGATTTTACCGGGCGTTTCCATGTCCTGGATTGTTGGATCCTTCGCAAGTTCATGTCAAAGGACCTCGGCCTAAAAGCCTTTTGCAGGATCCGGCAAAGCTTGGGCACCCGCCGCTTCCTAGCTCATGGCAAATTATTGCGAACACTAAGAAGCAAGCACGGGCAGCTTGAATAGGTACAAGAAACAAAATTGCAAAGTCTGGCGACCCTAGGAGGTCAAGAGGGTTCTCGCGGGCTCTGGGTAAAGTGAGATGTGTGAGTGCATTCCACATAATATATTGATTGCCCATATTTTGTCTCGGTATTTATCAGAGATTGGTAGTTTCGTGAACAGCAAAACTGCTGGAGCTTTTTGGCAACATCGGGGTCAAAAATGTTGGAGGACCCATCTGCTATGATTCTCATGCTGCTTAGAGGATTTCTCATGGGTTCCAGCAAAATCAGGGCCTTGGAAAGAGGCCACATAACCCTTTCTATGCAAAGTCTCCCTGTTCTCGTTCTACTGGTGCTTTTCATTGCGCTTCTCCCCCCTTCCCTTAGTACCCTCCCTGCCCTCCTGCTGATGTTGAATTGATGCATCCGGTCTCTGAGGGTACCTCCCTGGAGCCCGGCTCAGATGCTTCCGCCTCAGGAGCAGGGGCCCTACCAGTTAGATGACCACTGGGGTAATAGTAGTGTTATTCAGCGGAATATAGTTATAGGGGTTATATAGAGTTGTATAGGGGCTATATTATAGGGTCAACATAGGGGTTATAGGGGTGATATAGGGATGAGATGGAAGCTGCTGTAGAGAAGTCATTATTATCGGTTGAAATGAGAGGCTTTTGGATGAGCATGCAAGTTCTGGTGACATGTCCACATTCCGGGTCTGCTTTCTATCCCAGCCATCACTTGTGACTCTAAGTTTCCGCAATGGCACTGTGGACAGAAGGCAGACCTGAAGCCGCTGTACACCCAATCTTAAAGCTTATTGTTCGATTCCCAGCATTCGTACCAGACCTGATGTAGGATTATTTGCAAAGACTTTTTGTGCAGAGTCGTATTGAAATACCTTGGCCTAGCTGTTTTGGGCCATGTCTCTAGGCAGGATCAATCATAAGAACGGTTAGCTCGCCAGACTTGATGTTCCTTTGGCAGCCTCCATGACGGCCTAGGTGTCCACTACGCTGCCTCATACTTCGCCTGCTATGACCTCACCCGGTGATAGCGCAGGGACATTGCCGGAGGCAAGGCATCATCTCAGATCACAGTGGTGGAGGTACGGAAGTGAGTGCCGAGTGTTTTCTGCAAGGATGCCCGTGTCAGCGAGGTTGTGCCAGCAAAGTGCCGAGCCTAACATTATGTTATTGCCGCCAATTTCGCATTGTCCGTGCATTTGGCGCTTTAGCAAAGATGAGCTGCTCGGAGGCATGCTGACAATGGGACGAAAGCATCTTGCCATGAGGCCGCTGTATTTTGCACAGATGTGCGAATCTGCGGTTTGTTCCATCATGCTTCTGTAGGATACGGCAGTCACTCGTACCTCCTTGCTCCGAAACAGTCGAGACAAGAAGGCTAAGGCCAGTTCCAGATCGTGACCATTGGTTGTGTTCGCCTAAGGACCCAAAAATCTTCTCGCAGCCACATTTGCACGACCTGGTTTGACCATGAGACACGCCGGGAAAGCAACAACAGACTTGTGATGTTTGTTCCACGCATCTCAAAGCCGGGCATGTCCTTTGACAGGGCAAGCCGAAGGAGGCCGAGCCGAATGAGGAGGTTTCTGACACTCCAGAGATTGCAGCAGACCTACTGTAGCAGACTGCACCGCACTCGCAGATACACGACCTTCTTCGTGCTTTATCTCTCTCCCTCTCTCTCTTCCTGATTCCCTTTACCTCTTAGCCTTCCCATTTATTTCAAGCTGTAGTTTGTTTCCGTGTGTGTTTGGCGGTATGCTGCTTGCAGTGGTGGGCGAAGTGCAAAAACTGCACGCTGAGGCCTCTACTCGGACGTCCAGTCCGGCAGGCTGCACACTGAGAACAACGTCCCCTACCTTACCAACATTATAGCAAACTAGAGTAGATTATAGTATAGTATATCATCGTATATTTTTCCAACCGAACTGTATGCTGCATGCTACAACAGGCCAGAAGCCAAGCGGCGTTAGCACCTCGCTGGAGGCCTGCAGCGCGTTGTGCGGAAACAGCTGTCTCAACAGCATCCAGATGCTTCATTTTAGTCTATGGGTGTTTGACAAAGGGATGAGATAACCCTGTGGTCGATGTGGGCAAGACATTGCTAAGCCTGCAACAGTAGCTGCTTTCACATTGCCTCTTACTTTGCTCATATAGCTTCGGTAGCCAAAAACCTGTGTATTCTTACCTGAGAAAAGCGGTCCCAAGCGTGACAGGAGAACGCAAAAAGGAAGAGTCTGAACCAGGACTGGCTTGTCCTATCAGCGAAGCTGCAGTAAACTGTCACAGGCTGAGTGTGACATTTGGCATTCTGAACAGCTTTCGCAGCCCTCATCAAGTTAAATCACAACGAAGCTTTCTCAGTTCTGCTAATCTCCCGGATGGATAACCACTGTTCTTAACAGTTGCGCAATGGGAATTCAACTGATATCGCTCTAGCTCAGCCGTTTCGACTTGACAAGAGTATTCTTGAACGATTTGCTTCAATATGTTGGGCTTCAAGGGTCATTGATGAATATGTACACTTAGCATAGTCTAGTTCCGTCCCGTGTTGGGTCGAGGTGTTTCTTTAACATGTCATCGCGTAGTATCATGTGTTCCCCTACTACTATACCCCGTCTATTGGCCCTATGTTGGGGATAATGTTAGGGTCAGCAAGGCCTTTTTCCACAACGCTTTCTACTCCACAGTGGTTTGTTTTTTGATCCTCAGAGCTGTTGCACGTCCTTTTCGAAGACTGGCCGCTTTCAGCTAGGTTTGCAAATTTCCAATAGGGATCAGGGCTTCTGTATGCATGTCTCTTTACAATCGAAGACACTTGCGTCGGAAGAGTGCCATCTCTTATTCGTTTAGGTGGGGTAGGACAAGGAAAACAAATATATACAATCAAGTGAATAAAAGACTTGGTTGGTTTAAGATGTCACCAATGATCACAAAACGTATAAGAATATCGCTCAATTTCATTGTGGGCCCGGAAAATCAAGCAAGGGTAGTAATCAAAGCTTGACGAACAGAATTGCCTCAGAAATCCGACTCTCGGTCCTGGCATACACAGTATTTGAATGGAACATTTTGAAATCTTCTGGCCATGCATACAAGAGGTGAAGAATGTCAGTGAGTCTGTAAGGCAAAGACTCGTGCCAGACAAGTTGCAGGCTTCAGGCAAGCATAATCCACCCTTGATGCGGAAATATTCTTTTCGGATCAACCAAGTCATCTTGCACCATCTTGACTGTCAGTACTCAGACATTCAAAGGGACTCTGTTCCTTCAAGCGCTTGCTACTTGGTCAGGCTTTTCCTTGCGTTAGTCAGCCCGCGCTGCACCATACCCGGCAATGGCTGCAATTGCTTGCGCTAGATGCGTGTGCTAATACTTTGATGGCTCTGTGCAATCTGGAGAGATTGTAGAAGAAGCTTTTATGATTTTCATGCGTCGCCAATTACTTGCATGGCATTTTGTTGTTGGCACTTGTTCCGCACTCTCTGTGCGAGCATCGAAAACCCTTTGCTCCAAAAGGGTAGACGTATCTGGCTGCATAAGAATGAACGTGCTTGCCAGGACCAGATCATCTTCAAAGCCTCCGAAGGCGGTTCATCATGTGGCTAGCTAGCCATGTGGCAGCCTGCCGGCACACCGCACGTAAGCTGCTGAAGCCCCTTCATGGCCGCAACATGGGGGTTGAATCAAGTTGACATGCGAGAATGACTTCACTATTGCAGCGTCATGTATTAATGTGCTTTCAACACTCGGAGATCTCGGAGCTAGACCTTGAGATCAATGCCTTCCTCCGTCCTGTACTCGTATCCTCTGTCTGATCTGATTTTTTCTTCGCGAAGACTGTAAAGCTCTGCATTATCGTACCACTCAAGGGAATGACCAGGGGCTTGCCACGCCAAAGTCCGTCAGAACTTATTTCAGCAGCGGCTAGCATTGGGGACTCCCTGAGAAAGCGTTGCAGAGGCCACAGCTTCAGCAAGTTTCAATTCACAGAACCCTCGAGAGATGCCTCAGACTGATGCACTAGAGCCAGATCTCAGATCTTGAATAGCTCCCCTTGAGGGCTCGGGCTGACCCGCAGTCCTTTGGCAGGATTGGATGGCAGCTATCCTCCATCCATTGGCGAGGAGCGAAGCCCTGGTAAAGTCAGGGTGAAACATGTTGCTGCGATTTTTGCTTTCACATGTTTGCAGCATTTTCGTTACTCGCTTTCCAGCTGCTGTTGTTGTTGCGGCAGCAGCTTTGACGGTCACACGGCAGCTTGCTGACTGTTTGCTTGGCTCGCCTAACTGTGGATGTGGAGGATTTTGCTACCCCTTCAGAAGAGGAGGAGTTCGGTGAAGTGCCGGAGGCCATCTGCAACTCCTGCATGCAAAACTGCCGCACATAACAAACATCCTGGCACGTTCACAGTCCAAAGACCTCGCAGCTGCTGGATATTGCAAGATGTTGTATGCAAAGTGGGACGCAGAATAAGTGAACAGTGTAAGGGGGAAGCAGCGTGGAGTCATTGCACAGGATGCTCTGCTTTCATCGCCATCTTCTGCCTCCTCGTTCACACTTGAGCGTGGGGGTCTCAGTGTTGCTATCATTTACACATGTTTCCACAATTTTTTACCAAGGTGTTGTCCCCTCAAAAAGGAGAGTGTGATACAGGGGCTAGCAGGGCCTTCACATGCAGAAGCATCAGGTCCGAAGCGTAGCGAGACGCAGGCCGCCACTGCACTGGCTAGGATAGGGGTTGAAAGGCTCGGCTAGTCCATGCCCTTCCAGACACTCACAGTATGCTTGATGAGAAGCACGCGCTGTGTTCTGCCAGTCGCACCAGTACGACTACGTGGACGGAGCGTCTGCGTGATGCGCAGTGTACAAGTATGTAAAAGTACAAGCATAAATGCCAACGGAGGGCGGCAGGTTTCGAATCTTGAGACAGAACTATGCGAGTGATGTGCGTGATTCCAGCAGTCATTGATGTAATTGCATCTGCCACACTGTCTCGCTTGAAGTGCAGTGTTTGTAGCTGCTGCCTGTATCCCAAATCTGCCGGATGCCTCATGCGACTTGCACACAGTCGCCAAGTCCAAGTCCAAAATGCATATGTGAAACTGCGACAAGTTTGGCAACAAATGGACAGAGTGACTGAGTGCCACGGTCTAAAGGCCACCCCTGCTCCAAGCAGTTGTTGTTGCATGCACGGCTGACCCAGGGTCTGTCCTGGAACCTGTTTAATTATGACCTCCGGCTCCAAGATGATTAGGAGGCTTGCTGGGAAGATGGCAGATGGTGGGCAGTGTGCGCCAGTTTGCGCGGTATTGCGCTGTGTGTAGTCTCAACGAGGTTTAGCTTTATCATTTTATGACACTGCTCCGTCAGCCACTTCTCTCTCCCTCCTTGTACTGTACTGCAATGACGTCACGGTTTTGGAGCGGTGGCAGTTCTGGCACTTGGCGCACCGCACGCATGGGACAAAGATACACTGGCAGAGGCTGGTGCGACCAAGCTTCCAGGTCCTGCCCCTGCCCATTCAACACAGTTGTGCTTTGTGCACAGCCAGCAGCAGACACTGTGCGGTCCAAGAGTCGCCACGGCAGATATGACCTGGCTTAGGATCTGGGTCCTTTGGCATGCCAAGGCTAGACTAGCAGTGATGCCAAGGCTAGACTTCTGGCAAGAGCAGATTGTCTGCAGAAGAGCTGGCATGTATTCAAAACATGCTGCGCGTACAGTGATGTGAGGCTATTTCTCTGTGCATTTTTCGCATGGGCACAAGGATCATGACCAGTCTTGCTATCGGCTGGGTTTCTTTTTGAACCTCCGCAATCTCCAGTGCTATCTGAACGCTGACTTTGTGTCGCTTATGTAGAGCCAAGTGCAGTATAAAAGGGTTGCCAGCGGTTTTTCCAAAGCCAGCCGGATGGCCTTTGGGATGGTTTACGCTTTGACTTTTGCGCCTTGGTTGCCTGTCTGGGACTTCCTGTCACTTACAGCGAGATCTCAGGCTGAGTTTGCTCAAGCTGTGCCAGGACGAAGAAGGGAGGGGAAAATGCTCTTGAAGGTAGAAGACATTGCAAGACATCAGGTTCTACTCGTTTGCTAGAAATGTTGGAGAACTTTAAGCCTGGCCAGCTTGTTGCAGCTTGATTGGTTCCCATGTAACATATGGTCTCACCGGTGACCAGGATGAGTTGCACGGGTTGCCCTGGGCCATGGCTTCATATTGCCACAACAGATGCCGGACCTTCTTGTATGAGTTCAGGCGTTCAGGCCAACTAAAGGGACATATAGGGTGCGTAGAAGGGTATGTAGGGATAAGATAATGGAGAAGAACATGGAAATTACCATTCAGGGTCAAGACTTTCTTTGCCTCGCCCAGGCCACCTCAGCACTTCGGAGCAGACAGGGATGAGGGGTTCACTGTTTGCGTTAAAAGACTGAGGAGATGCGCACCGAGATGCCAGCCGCCGTGCAATGCATATCCTTTTGCAACTGTTCGGCTGTGAAACTGTTGTGCAATGACGGTGCTCCTCCAGCCTTAGCAGATGGAAATGAACCAGCCCCTTCAGCAACGAGCCACTGTCTTCGTCTAGCATGTAGAATTTTATCAATCAAGCCTTGCTTGACCATAGGTTCTGTCAAGTGAGGGATTGGCAACACAATATAATAGGGCTTTGAAACGAAGCCTCAACAGCATCTCAACATGCTTAACAGCTCCAAGTATATCCGCCGATTCCAACAAACTTAATGAATCGATTTGGCATATACAGCGACGCCAGTATAGCTTGCCAACTCAGTGTGCCTGGCAACCGCAACGTTGCACAGGATCTGTACATCAGCGGAAGAGCAGTCATCAACACATCAACCAAGACACTGGGCATGCTTGACGGCTAGCGGAGAGCGCCATTGGTGCCATGGCGGCCCTGACTGTGAGACAGGTTGGCCAGGTGGCACCACCCTTGAAGCAGAAGATCGAGCAGTTCCAGCAGATAGTCGACAACAATGACCAATCTGTGGCCAGAATCCGAGAGCAGCTGCGTCGACTGGAGCCGCAAAGGGAGCGGCTCTCTGATCAGGTGCAGCAGCGCCAGGATGACAGGCGAAGCATCCATAGCCAGCTCGCTCGCTTGGAAGACTCTTTGGGCTCTTTCGGGGCGGAGAGCGTGCAGCTCGAGGCTGCTGCAGAAGAGATGCCACGGCTCTTGGAGCGAATAGCGGTGCCCGTGAATCAGCCCGCCGGAGCTGCTGCACCAGTTGATCCAGCGTTTCGCAGATTGCCAACCGCTGCCATCGATGTCCCGCTGCCATACTTTGACACACTGGCTGAGCAGCTAGAAACACGGACCAAGCAGGCGTTTCTAATCTGCTTAGAAAGCTGGTTGTGAGTTCGTTTTTTCCCATCAAGCCTGCTCTGAGCGATGCCTTGGAGGTGTACGAAAGAGTCAATGCCGTTGAGAAGGCCTTGGCTACCTACAACCGTCAGGCGGGTCATTTAGTTTCGTTATCTTTCGTTCAAGTAGCTATTCACAACTAGCCCGAGCACGGACTCTGTTGGCCATGTTGGCCTTTGTTTATGATGAGGTTGTGGCACGGTGGCACGGAGGCACAGCATAGGTCAAACCCTGATCAGGTGTCTGGCGTCCCAGTGACATCTCAAATTGAGGCAGACCGGTCGAGCGTAGCATGTGATTTGGAGAACGGAGACACTCGCACTTCTGTGAAGACTGCTGAGTGACGGACGACGATAACTCAGGAGATGGCCTTCTGCTCCTAGAATGCTGTGGAATTGCATGACAAGAAGACTGATCAAACGCAACCTGCAGTGTCCTACGACCTGTCCGCAGCTGCTAGTTGTAGTGTTGTATTGTTGAGTATCACAGTAGATGCCAGATCAAGTGCCAAGCAGAGACAGTGATCCACCTCTCAAGGGCCCTGCTGCTTTCTTGGCTAGTTTGGTTGAGAATAGACGTCCGCCATCAGTGATAAGGAGTGCCATTGAGCCTGCCTTTGCTTGAAAGTGTTCGATGTGATGGGTTCATAGTTTCTTTCCAGGCTGTGGTGAGGTCCGAGTTCCTGCAGTTCAAAGCAATAGCTGCTGAGCTCGCGCAGGACCCTGTGCTTGCCATAAGGGCATCAGGGTAGCCAAGCAGGTTTGCGTGTGTTTTGCTGGGGAGAGCCGGCGGACTGAGTGCGCGTACTGCGAAACTGAAGGGGGGCGTCGCCCTAAGGAAAACAGTGCGACTCATGACTCATTACGCCTCAGCAGGCTGGCGAGCGAATCGAGCAGCTGCGTGACGCTGCAGTGAGAACTCGAGGTGGCCGACAGAAAATGTTCAACGCCAGTTTGGATGCTGGTTGCTACTTCCATATCAGCGCCATTTCAAGAGTCTTGGAATCCAGAACATGACAGACAGCGCAAGGGCCTAAAGTGCCTGGGACAAACAAGAACATACCGATTCGCATCTGCACGGCAGGCGTCAGTTGTGATGATTGAGCCTTGTTGAATGTAGACACTGGACTGGCAGTCGTCTTGTTGTCTGTGAAGGTGTTCCAGTGGGCATGTGCGCCTCCCAGTTATTTTGAGTTCCATGACAGATGACTACCATAGTATATAGGGATCATATAGAGATAATGGAAAAGAAAATGGAAACTACTATAGTATGTTGGGGTTATATAGAGATAATGGAAAATAACATGGAAACTACTATAGTATGTTGGGGTTATATAGAGATAATGGAAAATAAAATGGAAACTACTATAGTATGTTGGGGTTATATACAGATAATGGAAAATGTAATGGAAACTACTATAGTATGTTGGGGTTATATAGAGATAATGGAAGATAAAATGGAAACTACTATAGACTACTGTAGTATATAGGGGTTATATATGGATAAGGAAATTAAATGGAAACTACTATGGTATGTACGGGTTTCTTGGGGGGCCGTCCGCAAGACTGAGGCTGGCACGTCCTGCGGAGCCAGACTACGACCAGCGCATGGTGAACCCGGCAAGCTTCACCTACACTCCCCCAAACTAACATGGAAACCCATATAGCCCCATTTTAGAGGGACTATAGTCTTTATAGGGCCCCTTTTGGGTTTCCATGTTAGTTTCCAGGAGTGTATCATCCCTACGATGTAGTTTCCATTTTATGTTCCATTATCCCTATGCAACCCCTACATACTATAGTAGTTTCCATTTTATTTTCCCTTATCCCTATGCAACCCCTGCATACTATAGTAGTTTCCATTTCATTTTCCCTTATCCCTATGCAACCCCTACACACTAGGGTAGTTTCCATTTCATTTTCCATTATCTTTGTATCACCCCCATATACTACAGTAATCTATAGTAGTTTCCATTTTATTCTTCATGATCTCTATATAACACCTGTATGCCATAGTAGTTTCCATTTCATTTTCCATTATCCCTGTACAGCAGAAAGTGTTTTCACTCTGCAAACTTTGGAGCTACGCTGGGCCAGGTTGCTGCTCGGTCCGGTGCAAACTTTGGAGCAAACGCCTCAGCGAAGGGATACCTTTTTATGTTGAAGCTGCCATAGAAAGCTGCTTGTAGGTCCTAACTGGAGACAGGAAAGACGGCCTAGTGGGGTGTGGTTGGGTGGGATGGTCATATCATATCCCTCTGTTGTTCTGTTTGGTGGAAGAAAGTTGCGGAGGATGACTTTCACCTGCTTCTTTGGACAGGGTGGTGTTTCTGCTGCTGCTGCTGTGCGCCTGATGTAGGATTTTGCGGATGTTCTCTCTAGCCAGGGCCAGCTGCTTGGACCCCTTGCCATCAGCTCGTGTGCCTGGCCTGTTCTTGTTGCAGCTGAAAACCCCTTCCGAGGGGGGCAGCGAGTGTCAATGTCAACCTGTTGGAACCAATTGCTTGGCTATAACTTTGCCAGTCTGCAAATCCTAGCATCATCTAGCTTGCTAGAATCATGGCAGGATTGGCTTGATGGGCTGCGGGGGCCGCTTGGTGCAGGATGAATTTCGGATTCTTCCGAGAAGCTTCAGCTTCCTTTTCTGATCTGATGACACAAGCTGCAACACATGTTGTTACGTACACCAAGGCATGATGCCTGGAGCAAGCCCGATGGGAGCCACGGTCGGCGGCGGCCTTTTTGGTGCCAACACTGGTGGTGGCCTTTTTGGCGGCAACACTGGCGGAGGTTTGTTTGGCGCCAGTACCGGTGGTGGCCTTTTCGGTGCCAACACCGGTGGCGGACTTTTTGGCGCTAACACTGGCAGCGGACTTTTTGGTGCCAACACTGGTGGAGGCCTGTTTGGTGCCAACACTGGTGGAGGCCTGTTCGGTGCTAACACTGGTGGCGGCCTCTTTGGTGCCAACACCGGTGGGGGCCTCTTCGGCGCAAACACTGGTGGTGGACTTTTCGGTGCCAACACTGGCGGAGGTTTATTTGGACAGAGCTCCGGCGGCGGTCTCTTTGGTGGCAACACTGGCGGTGGGCTCTTTGGACAAAACACTGGAGGAGGCTTATTTGGGGGCCAAAATACCGGTGGAGGCATGTTTGGCCAGAACACCGGTGGAGGCCTGTTTGGTAACACTGGAGGTGGCTTGTTCGGACAAAACACTGGCGGAGGCATGTTCGGGCAGAACACAGGTGGAGGGCTTTTTGGCGGACAGAACACAACTGGTGGTGGCCTATTCGGCGGCAATACTGGAGGAGGTCTTTTCGGAGGCGCCGCAAACACTGGTGGTGGAATGTTTGGTGGCAACACTGGAGGGGGGCTGTTTGGCGCAAATACTGGAGGCGGCATGTTCGGTGCGAACACTGGAGGCGGTCTCTTCTAGCTGTCGAGAGTCAAAAGGATCGCTCACGTAATCCAGAGCATGCATCCAAGATTTGCATGCAGCCGTGGGAAGTCTTCTGCAACAGTTGAGGTCCCATTAGCCGTTAGCTGTGCCAACCAGGTGCTCCAGATATTAGTAGGAAGATGTCAAACTTGACTTCCCTCACTGCTTCAAAATAACTACGCTTGATTGCGATGCGTGGCTCAACTGTCTTAGCCGCTGGGCATCCATGCGCAGCGAGTGGCGGGGACGACCCATTAGTGCGGGGCAGGCACTGCTGGGTGACTTCCCGTGCCGAGGGTGAGCTTGGTTTCTTTTTGAGCAGGGGAGCCCTCCAAAAGCATGGAGCGTGATGACTCTTTGTGCGGCCGTCCAGCGTTGCAAGGGCTGCAATGGCTGAGAGCATGATGTCTGCTGGTCACGGATGCCAGGTTTAATGTCGACTCTGGTGCCGGCCTTGGACTCCTTAGCCTATACAAAGAATGGCACAGTTTGGCACGTTGTAGGCATGGATTGTCCTGCGCAAGGTGTGATTGAGGTGAAGAGCACCCTCACAACCGAGGCAAGATGTACTTCGTTTGGTAGGGACATCATTAGCAGTACGCATAAGTATTTTCTAGCTCCAGGCGCAGTCTGATTTTGTAAAGAAAGTTCAGGAGCACTGCGGAGGCATGGCCGGATATAGCAGGTGCTTTGGGTATGATGTCTGGACCAAACAACTGCCAAGGTAAGGATGAGGAATAGAGATATCCTATTGTAGAAAAAGCAGGGGTCCTGTGCTTGCACAAAGCAGTTTCTGGAATCAGGAACAAGCTCAAGCCGGGCGATAGCATCCAGCAGAGACAGCACGAACACCGCACAATACCGCGCAATATACTGCCAACCCAGCTACAGTCAGCAGTAGTTTCATTCTCAGCACGAACATATGCAAATGATTTGTTGCAAGGCAATTTGTAAAATTGGAAACGTGGGAGCGGTTTCGCAAAAGTTGAACGCGAGAATCCAAATGCCAAGCAGCCAGCAATTTCACAAAGGCATCAGAACCTTGAGTTTTCTCATGGTATGACTGTAACAGACTGGTTTGCAGGGCATGGGCCTGCTGAGCTGTGGCCTTAGCTGATCCGCGGCATCCCACTACAGCACTCAGAGTTGATGAGTCGTGAGCGTGCGCGGGACATGATATTGATGAGGTCGCGAGAGCAACGTGCCGAGAATTCACAAAGCCGCAGAAAAATACCGAGGAGCGGGTACTGCCGTGTCTTGAAATCAAAGTTGAATCAGATTCCGCATTGGCAAAATGCCCCGAGAATGGTAGCCTCGTGTAATGTGAAGGAATAGCCCGACAACTTCTTGGTCGAAAGGCAATGGTCTCTTGATAGCATGCGTGGTCAAGTAGGTGTGAGATTCTGCGGCACCTGTTTTGCCCTGAAGCATCCTTTGCTTGGCAGGACTTGGAGGCTGTGCCACGGGGAGTGATGCAGCGTGTCATCACTACGCGGCAGGACTGACAAGATTGTACCTAGCATGAGAAATTGAGTGGCCCAATGCAGGGCGGGCTTAGTCACAATTCCTGCACGGTGTTCTTGGCATGATGACGTCAAGCTGGCTTTCTGTTCTTTTGCAGGAGAGGTTCTATGGCTGCCTGTGCGAACCTCATTCTCACATGGTCAGCATGCGTCCACATATCATACAAGTTGGCGTGTGCACTGAACATTTTGTTGAAGGTCGCTTCCAGTCAACCTGCTCTTCTTCCTCTTTTTCGTCATCGCGGTTTCTCCCTGATACTCTGGGACAACTTGTGTCATGGAGAGCACGCCAGCTGGCCGACTGCCGCCACAAACCCCTGAGGTTGCGATGCATGAGGAGATTACGCAGGTGTATATGGTTGAGCTCGGCGCCAAGCAGCCCGCA